TCGCTCGATCTTGGAGGAAACAGTATACAATGCCAACATCGGCTGATCTTGGAGGTAACAATATACAATGCCAACATCAGTTGATCTTGGAGGAAACAGTATACAGTGCCAACATCGGCTGATCTTGGAGGAAACAATAAACAATCCCAACATCAGCTGATCTTGGAGAAAACAATAGCGTCTTATCCCTCAAGAAGGGTCATGTTGACCGCCTCAGTCTTATATAAATAAGATTGTTGCCCAAATCTGTCTGGCTCTCATCAAATTTCTATGGGTAGCTTTAGGCATACAGTTGGGCTATAGAGCTAGAATGGAATGAGGTGGCACACCTCTAAAGAGGGGACATGTTAATGGAGGCTTATCATGGAGCACAACAATCATGCACAACAATAGACTCTTTAGATGCTCCCGGATAGGCTGTGCCTGTTAAAAACGTAATCCTGTTTATTGTTACATTGTGCAAACTATGTAAACACCTTTTATCTCCCAACTCCTCCCATCCTTTGTTTTGTTGTTAAGTGTATTAAGGATTGCTAAAAACTAACTTGGCATTGGCCTTTAACTATTTATATCCTAAAGGTAACTGGCTGAAAAGTGATGGTGGGGGTGTTATTTCTGGCCTGGGGGCAATTAGTGGATTGTGACAAAGCAGCACCAGCTACACATTTATCCAAGTAGAGCGTAATGGGTAAAAAGAAATCAGCACATAATCACGTTCTATGTGTAAACATATGTGTATAAGAAGAGGGAATGTATTTACCTTTACACCCAGCAGTGGCCACCGTTCCTGCATTGTATGTGTTGACATCGGCAAGTGAGGCAGTGACACAACCAAAAAGTGACTTTGGGGGTTGGTCGTCACTACTCATGTATTGTAATAAAACAGGACGGACCTGCAGTCTTATCACAAGTGATCTTGGCGACATTGCCGAGATCACTTGTATACGAACAAGCGGCTTCCCCACTCTACATTTAGCCCTGCTTGCCCAAAGCAGGGCTAAATGTAGAAAACAACCACCCGCCTGGCGCCCAAAACTTCATGTCCCGGGCGTCGGGAGATTCTACACCCCTGCTGCCCCTCTGCTCCCTGCCTCCCCGAGGCTGAGCTTCGGTGGCCTTGTTGGAAATCTTGCCCTGTCCATTCAGCCGTCTCCATTTTTAGTTTTTTTGTTTGCTTTTTCTTTTCAAACTTTTTTTTTCTGGATTTATATCAAGCCCAAGCATGCTTTAATTCACTTACCATTGACTGACTCACTACCTCTGCTGCAACACTGTTCCAAGGATCAAATACTCTTTCAGTAAAAACATTATTTCTAAGGTCTAAACTTTCCTCCTGCTAGTTTGCGGTCACTTCCCTGTGTTCTTGATCTTAGCTTCATGCAAAATTCATGGTCTGTCACGGTGCCATTTATGGAGACATTAGGCACTCCATCGTACAACAATAGTAGTGGGCGACTTACATCATCAGGCTGTGCATGGGTCATGTCCATTTTTGTGTGTGTTAGCTACGAGCTATAACTGAACCCTAAACCAAGAATGTACTATATTGCAACTTACCCGTCCTTAGATGTGGTGATTGCAGTCGTTTTGTCTTTATAGGCTTTTTTCACTTTATTTTTGATCTAGTAATCCTGAGAATAACACATTTCTTGTAGGGTGGCTACGCTTACTTTGCCACTGAATCTATGGAGAGAGCCATGATTGTCACTAGGGATGAGCTCATCCGAATATGAGAGCTACAAGTGCCTCCCCCCAATCAGCTGCAGGTCCCTATAATGTCTCTATGCTGAGGCTATTCCCTCAGGCAGCATCTTTTTGGATCACGTGGCGGGAGGTCGGCAGGCAGAGAGCCACGGCTGCTCTGCTGCACAATGTTTGCAGTATGCATGTCCCGTTTCCTGCTAGAGCATCCCAGGTTGCTAAGAGCTGGACAGGAAGATGTCTAAGGGCCACCCAACTCTTAGAAACCTGGGATACTCTGGCCGGTGTCCCGCTCAGCTCCAGGCAACCAGTAACGTCAAATGAGTTAAGCCGGATGCGCTGGCTGGTGTCACGCCCGCCCAGCCACCCCTCCACGGTTAGCATGCACCACCCCCGACGCTCCTCCCTAGCCAAAAAGGCTTGGGACGCCCCTGGTCCAGGGCATTCACCGCCCTGCAGCTGACCATAAACAAAGAGTGCGATGCTTGTGCTGATGTCATTTACCTTATATGGCCACATTAGGTAAATGTAATTTACCTACTATAGCCATTTAGCCATATAAGGTCAATTACATCACTGCACCCTTTACTTAAATCAAGCTGGGGCGGGGAATTCCCCGCCTGCAGCTGATTGGCTGTTCTGGAGGAGCTCCTTCTGGGTTCGGAAGGGCTCAGGTTAGGACCAAGTTTGGCCCATGCCTGAGCTCATCCCTACTTGTCACCCAGGCTGGACATGTCTGTCTTTGTTCATCTCCTTTACATTGGGAATTGTAGTAGTTCACAAATGAAAAATAACATTTTTTTGCTTTCTTTTCAGCT